GTGGACAAAGAATCGAACCGAAAAATCGGAAATCGGGATGAAACAGATCGATCTTCCAAAGATTGATCAAAGATCGCCCAATCCTAGTACAAATTGTTGGCAAGCTGCTTCACGAAGTAAAGCCAAAGAAAATATTTTTTTTCCTCTGTTCGGGACCTAACGCTACTGCGACCAGTAAATTGATCTATTGTAGTATATCCCGTGTCCTTAGTTTAGTGCATGTCGTATTACTCCATCACTATTGAGAAATGATGAAGTATTCGATTTTTTTTACAGTTGCCACTCTTGCATTTATCGCAAGGATCTGACTCTAATTGAAAGGTCCCGCTATTTATACCCTTCGGAGTGTTGAAACACCCTCCAAAGGCGCGCCCCTTTGTCAGTCAAAATTGGATTCCTTAGCAACAAAATTAAGGTATGACACCGATAATGACCATGCATCAGAACCCTAGTCTTAACCACTTCAAACTAGAGAACAACGAATAGAAGATTAGGAATAACATAGATGAAGACAACTAACTCATTTGTTTTTCCTTGTTTCAAGATCATCCTCGGTAGACAAAGCCGAGTCTTGTCACTATCAACAAGGCGTAAAAAGTAACAAGGACTAAGATGTGTTCCTTGGATTACTGAAAAATCCTGTTCCCCTAGTTTGAAGTAGTCAGGACTAGGAATCGGTGGTAGATCTTACATCCCGTAACATACCAAAAAAAAGGTGATCTACCCACGTTACGGGAAGATATACTTGTGTTAACACTCCGAATACGATGCCTCCGAAAAACGTGTAACGGCAAGTTTGCAATGGCATAACTTAGCCATTTCTTTGTGAATTTTTAATAAAATGTGGTGCTTCTAAAATACCTAGAGTCTGTAGGTGATTTTGATTGTAAAAGAAAAATTAAAAATAGGTTCGTCTACTTTATTCAAAAGCGAAAAGAGTCGTTACACGTTTTTTAAAGGAGTGTTTATGGGTTTTGCAAGTGGCCTAAGATCCATAAATTAGACTAATGGGTACAAATGGTCATAATTAGGCAAAATACAGTCATGGTTCCTATATATTGATCCTGGAGACAGCGGAACCGTCCTCTGGAAGATTCGGAACATCCGTAAAATTGGTCAATCCACGAAACTGATCCTAGAGCTCAACAGTTTTTTGAAAACATTAGGAACTGTGATATACGAAAGAATTTGGGTTCATGACATAAACACAAACCCGTATGGCTACATGGGAGCGTGCTCAGGAAGATCCGAAACATCTGTAAAAGTGGTCAATCCATGAAACTGATCCTAGAGCTGCGCGATTTTTTTTTCGGAAGCACTTCGAACTGTGATATAAGAAATAATTTCGGTTGTGACATAAAAATGGGCCTGGATGGCCATGGGATCATCCTCCGGAAGATCCGGAACATCCGTCAAAGTGATTCATCCATGAAACTGTTTCTAGAGCTCCACGGTTTTTTCGAAACTGGTTTTTTTTTAACTGTGATGTAAGAAAAAATAGGTCGTGACGTATACACCGTCCTCTAGAAGATCTGGAACATCTTTAAAAGTGGTAAGTTCATGAAACTGATCCTGCAGCTCCGCAGTTTATTTAAAAAAATATTAGTAACTGTGTTATAGAATGAATTTGGGGTCGTGACATAAACATGAACCTGGATGGCCATTGGACCGTCAGCCGGAAGATCTGGAACGTCCGTAAAAGTGTTTCATTCATGAAACTGTAAATAAACTGTGATATTTTTCGAAAACTTCACACTTCGAAGTGTTTTCGAGAAAACCGCGAAGTTCTAGAATCAGTATCATTAATACACTACTTTTACGGATCTTCCGGAAGACGGTTTCATGGTCATTCGGGTCCATGTTTATGTTACAACTCCAAATTATTTCTTTTATCACAGTTCCTAATGCTTTCGAAAAAACCGCGGAGTTCTAACCATTTTTAAGAATGTTCCAGATCTTCCGAATGACGGTCCCACGGCCTTCTAGGTCAAGGGGTAGGTCACTCCGCACACCAATCTTGGGTCATATTTTTTGTCAGTGTGCCGCAAGTATGCCGATTGTGCCGGTCATAGAGCAAGCTGCGATTGTTTGTAAAATACCCATCCCGGCAACCCGGTATTTCTGACACATTGAATGTTTTGGTTTGAAATCGCAAGGATAAATCGGATTGAGGATGACGCGGGAACTGGCAGGTGTGTGAACTTTTGGTGTTTTGTGATCCACAGGATAATAAAAGTCCTGTGTTTTAGTGTTTTATAATGCCCTCAAAGGCAGACCAGAAATCTAGCTTTTCGGCCGGAAAGAGTTGGAACCGGTGGGGAGCATTGTTAGAGACCGACTATAGAGGATGATGAATAGACTTCTTTAGTCTGTTTTGTGTGATTTGCAGCATTATTTGAATTAAAGGTACTAATGAGGTCTGATTAACTGGCTCTTCCTCTTGAGTCCACTCTGGAACCTACATTTCGTATTTAGATCTATAAGTGAACTGCTGGTCTGAGTTCCTCTGGTATATTCAATTAGAAGATGTTCCTGAACATGACTGTGATGTTCTGAACAACTTCAATGACAGTTGTCCAGCAGTGCTCCCATTTTATTTACAACAATCTAATCCCTACGAGATTGTGCCAAAGGTATGCCGACAATGTGCCGATGGATGTGCCCAAGCTGTGTAAAATATAATTCAGGCACATTGTGCTGAGTGACTTACCCCTTGTTCTAGGAACATGTTTATGTCATGACCCCTAATTAATTAATATATAACAGTCCCAAGTGTTTTCGAAAAAAAAAAACCGTGGAGCTCTAGGATCAGTTTCATAGATTGAACACTTTTACTGATGTGCCGGATCTTCCGGAGGACGGTCCGATGACCATCCTAGTCAATGTTTATGTCATGAAACCAAATTCTGTCTTATATCACAGTTCCTAATGTTTTCGAAAAAACTGCGGAGTTCTAGATGGAGGTTTATGGATAGACCACTTTTACGAATGTTCCGGATTTTTCCAGGACCGTTCCGTTATCTCCAGGTTTCTTTTATAGGAACCATGACTGTATTTTGGCTAATTATGAACATTTGTGCCCATTAATCTAAACTATGGATCTTAAACCCAAAAACACACCTTTAAAATCAAACGTGTAACGAGCCTAGGAATTCTACAGGTAGGTACCACAATTTTGGAAATTCATCAAGAAATGGCTAAGTTATATCATTGCAAACTTGCTGTTACACGTGTTTCGGAGGCTTCGTAGTCGGCGTAAAGTTTTTTACCCACCGTATTCGGAGTGTTAACGGGATTTATTTTTGTTATGTCTTTTCTCGATTCCGATCAAGCTATGACTTTAACAACAAAGCAGGCAAGCAATATATCATTATCCTTCTACCACTCCGATTGAGCTGTGTTGCAAAGAAAGTTTGTCGTGGTAGTCGTAGCAAGCGTTTTGTTTGTATCATTGGTTGCTTTATGTGTTTGGATTCGCTGGTTGTTTGGCGTCTAGTTTCACTTTTCAGATCTTTTTAGATGCTATTGTGTGGGTTTGTGAGTGGGTTTCAAAACAATTTTATAATCAAACGGAAGTCAACAGTATCCTTGTGATTGTGAATTTATAACTATCGTAGGCGTTTGAATACTGTTGAAAGCAGGTTGTTCGTTGGCATTCACATGTTTATGAACTATAGACGTTGAATATGATGTCATCAGTGATGCGATCCCACTCGGTTGATCTACAGCATCAACAGCAGTGCCCTAAGTCTGGAAAACAACTTATTTGCTTAAATATGATTCTACTGTAAATGTATCACTAACTGTAGGAAGAATCTAATTCTCAAACTAGTTGGTCTGTCATCTATGGTTCACATCCTTTAGTAGGATAATGTGTTCTAATGTTCGATCTATATTATGGACTCGGTAAGGTGAAAAAACGCAACAGTAACGCTAGAAAGTTTTATAGTTAGTTAATCTTGCACTTTGTTTTTTTTTTTTAATATTCTGTCCAGTTACTTGAATCTAGCTAATAGAGTACACCATGCCCTGTAATAAAAGAAAATATTCTGTCTCATCTACTGCGAATAAGAGCTGGTAGACTGTCGCAAGTCTCTGATTTCAATAACCAGCATACTGGCTGCCATCTAAAGCCGTTGTTAGCATACTTACAGTTTCGTAAACATTCTGAAAAATGATTCCTTTTAACACTCTTTCTCTTCTTGCACGTTTGTTGTAGGATGAGAAATGGAAACTGGTTTTGAATGAAACGATCAAACATAAAGGATTACATCGAAAGAAAGACAACATTAAGAGCATTTTGAACTAGTTTGATTTCTACCGATTGGTACTTGTTACGAATATTGGTTAGAACTGAAAACGAAAATCATGGTGAATTGCGAACATTGATCGATTTTTTGTTGATGTTTTAGATTGAGAGCGACAGATAGATGGGGTTCAAAAACAAAAGGAAACGTTTCTTGTATGTTTGTTTGTTTGTTTGGCAAAATTAGTCAAGCAAATAGCGAGTTTAATTCATAAGATTAACAAAATTATCACTGAAAGGAAACGGTTAATGCAAAGGAATAAGCGCTACTTGCTAAGTGGTGACGAATTGAGAGTTAGAGGGGATAAAACAGTAAGAGAGTGTTCTAAATGGAAAGCAAGGAGCTATCGATTGTTCGCTGACGTTTCTGTTTGTTTGATAGTAAGAGAAATTTAAAAATTTTCCGAAAGATATCTGTTTACAACATCCGAGTTCTCGAGAATAAAGATAGGAAAAAGAGAAACACAAACCATTCGAATCAGTTCATCCAATTTCACTGCTTTGATTTTAGAAGCGTTTTACGAGGAATTTAGGTTTTCGTTTAGAATAAAAGAGTTTAAAAAGAAACAGAGACATAGTTGCTCTGAGGAAGAAATCAAAGTTCAAAGTGAGACAAAATCACATTCTTATTGTTGTTGTTTTTTTTATTTGATTTGAAAAAAGTAGAGTTAGTAAAAAATTTAAATTTTCTTACCATCAGGTAAAGTCCCCAGCGACCACATAAAATCTAAAAATGCAGAAAACAAAAAGAAAAAAAAAACTACGTTTAGATACTATTTCGTTTTTTGGCGAATCCGGCCAGGGGTTGGCTGCAGGATGTCCAATTGATGGCGTTTTCTAAGGAGTAAATGGGAGTGCTCTAGGACTAGGCTTTTATAGGGTTATAAATAGGCGGACATTGAGTAATATGGAAAACGAATAAATATGTCGAAAAAACAAACGGAAAACAAAACTCGTTAACAACGAAGCAAACACTGAGAGAAACCAACTGAACGGATGTCGATTGTGGAAAAAAGAAATAACAAAGTAATCGAGGGTTGCATCTAAGCGCGCTTTTTTTTTGTTGACATTGTTGACGCTGTGTTCCTTTCGCTCATGGCCGACTACGTTTTCGTTTATTTTGTTTTTTTCGTCCGATCCCGTTTATGAATTCAAACACACACACGCACAGCAATAGAAATTCAGTTTCGGATCTGACATTTGGACAAAAACGGCAAACCGCAAATCAAAGGAAAATTCATCTATAAACTACTAATATTAAACAGTGTCTAATAACCGGATAGAGCTATAAACTACGAGTAAATGAGAGCGTATGGTTTCCGGCGACTGAGATATCACACTCTAAAACTAACATGAGTAAAAGTCTTAAAAGCTATTCGATTTGTTTTGATTTGCCTTTCGTTGATTTGATCGTAAAATACATACACACACACACACACACTCTAAAATCCGACCTCGTCCTTCGTGTTCCTTTTTATCTATGACCTTCTCTAGCAGAAGGTTGGCTGGTTCGGCCCAGAAGGACGAAGTTTTATTCACGACTACGCAAATGGAACACTCATTATCACTCCCGCAACCTAATATCACCTCAAAGTTGCTTATTCGTTGATTGACACACCGACTAACAATTGCAGTGGGCTGGATGGTGATTGACTGTTTAGTTGTAATTTGGAGAGTGACATAATTAATGGGTGGTATCTCGCTAGTTTCAAAAGCTGAAGCGAAATTTTGTAGCATTTCCTGATCTATTGGAACAGGTTGATAACGCAGTAAATATCCATTGCTGACGTTAGAGTTGACGATATTGGCGATAATGGCATTAGCTAACCTGGTAATTGGAAGCTGTTTTATCAAAATCGGTTGAGAACTGACAACATGGGAGTAATAGTGAATATTTATAAAACAAATTGTTCGTATCAGTTCCGGACATTAGTACATATATAACTTCGTTAATATATTTTTCTATTCCAAAAAATTAAAAGGTCTTTAACTTTTCCGGATGTTGATGAAATTTTCAGAATTCTTGTCTGCTGGTTGGTCAGGACTTAGTGGTGTAATTTTGAGCTAGATTGCATCAAAAAGCATCAAAAATTGCAGTTTCTATCTATCTATCTATAGCAAAAAGAAGCGATTTATTGAAATTGCCCAAACTTCATACAAATTAAGTCTATCATGCTCAAAAATATACCGATAAGATTCAGGAACATCCGAAAATTAGGTGATATACTTTTGCCGGTACTGCATGGGATACATTCATCTTGCCATTAACCACATAAAACCAATCAAAAGCTTGATAGCTACACTTGTGGGAAATAATGTGGATTACTTTTTTGCAGGGACGTATCAGCTTTTGTAAACAATCGTCGATTTTGCGTAACTGATAGATCACCCACGCATACTAACACCACTTTTAGGTAGGAGAAAATTTCATCTATCTAATGGTAGTGTTAGTATGCGTGGGCGAGCTACCAATTACGCCAAACCAACGATCAAATGCATTGTTTACAAAAGCTGATACGTCCCTTCGAAAAAGTAATCGAGAAATAGCCGTGAGTGCACTACACTACCAGAGGATTCCTGTATTTGGAGGGGGTAGTCACTCTTCACACTTATTTTGTGCTAATTTTTTTCCCAATGTGCCTCAAGTGTGCCGGAGATGTGCTGGCAGTGCCGACAGTGCCTATCTCACGCTGACTAGTGAATAATGGATTTCTAGCTGATACGGTGCTCCTGTTAGACATCAAGGAAGTCGCTCCGTTGTCACCTGAAGTTGAGACAACACTACCACAGCTTCAAGAACGACTATGACGTGTTTGTTAGTGACACCACCTATGCGAATGTAGATACCAGCGATGCGAGTGCCGAGTCGACAGATTCTGTGATCAAAAGTGATCCCCGTGTTTCCACCGTGGCAATCTTTATGTATAGTTGGGTAACAGGCAGGGATGGAAAATCATTTACATTCATTTCGTGCATTCATACACATTCATTTGCCTCTAACTTTTTCATCAACAGAATTCCGTAAAATAGTGTTTGAAGTTTTTGCAGGCTTTCATATTAGCTACATCTTTTGTTAACAACTCAAATCTGTATCTCTTATGCATGATGAATCAGAGCGATAAGAACCCACCATTGTTTTTCAGTGAATGTAAATTGCATTCACTGAAAAACAATAACATGTTCGGCCAGCTCTATTTCATCATGCATAAGAGATTCAGATTTTAGTTATTAACAAAAGTTGTAGTTAATATCAAAATCTACAAAAGCATGATACATCATTTGATGGTACTCTGTTGATGAAAAAAGTTAGAGGCAAATGAATGTAAATGAATGCACGAAATGAATGTAAATGATTTTCCATCCCTGGTAACAGGTGATGTTAAACAGCGACCTGGATCACAAACTACCAGGCAAATATGATGGCGTTACAATGCGTTACAAGGCAAGGATGTATTCTATCACCGCTACTGTTCCTCATCGTAATCGACGAGATAATGGTTGGTGCGATCGACCGTGTGCCGAACCGTGGGTTGCTCTGGCAGCCTATTACAATGGAGCATCTAAACGACCTAGATTTGGCGGATGACGTTGCTTTAGTATCACAACGGCGTTCTGACATGCAGAGTAAGCTCGACGATCTCGCCGAACGCTCCTCAGCGGCAGGTCTCAACATCAACGTCAGCAAGACTAAATCGTTGGATATCAACACGGGAAATCCATCCAATTTTACGGTAGCTGGTCAGGAAGTGGAGAAGGTTGAAAGTTTCCAATATCTTGGCAGCCAGATAGCGTCGGACGGCGGAACCAAGAGTGACATAGGTGCACGGATCAAGAAGGCAAGGGCTGCTTTTGCGAGTTTACGAAACATCTGGAAGTCAAATCAGATTAGTCTCCGCACGAAGATCCGAATTTTCAACTCTAACGTGAAATCTGTACTGCTGTACGCTAGCGAAACATGGTGCGTATCAGCGGAGATCACACAGAAGCTGCAGGTGTTCATCAACCGATGCCTGCGGTATATAATTCGTGCTTGGTGGCCTCACAACTGGATTTCGAATGCCGAGCTCCATCGACGGTGTCACCAGAAGCCGATATCGACAGAAATTCGGGAACGTAAGTGGAGGTGGGTTGGCCACACTCTACGGAAGAGCGGAAATGAAATCTGCAAACAAGCGCTGGATTGGAATCCAGCCGGACATCGCAGCAGAGGCAGACCCAGGGGCTCATGGCGGCGAAGCCTAAACAAGGAGATTAAGCAAGTCGACCGGAATTTGACCTGGGCCCAGGTCAAGGCGAAAGCAAACAATCGCCCAGGATGGAGATCTTTCACGTTGGCCCTTTGCGCCAGGGATGGCGCTCAGGACACTTAAGTAAGTAAGTAAGTTACAATGCAGTTCTTTTGATGGACGCAATCACGACATTAGTCGACCATCCACGAACATCGACAACCAGAGTCAATTCAGCGCTACTCTAGCCGACGCTAGGAGAGGGAAAGATGATCCGATGACGCACCAGGAGGATTATCATGGGACAACTCCGACCGCAGCTAATCAACAACAATACCTCGGTGTCGATGGATCTACCGAAGGGCAGGCACGATGCCAGTGGAAACGTCAATCAACACAAGGCCCACGTGGTGTTCGAAAGATAGGGGTGGACTACGACGGAACCTACTCATCTGACGTTCGTCACAGTTCACCGCGGTACCGATTCGTTTTGGCGGCCAAGCACCGTCTTGAGGTACATCCGTTTCAGCAAGGAGTTTTGGGCGAAGAAATTGTCATAGAACAACCGCCATGTTTCGAGATATCCCCAATTGGTTTGTCGTTTGATCAAGACTGTCAAGCAATCTAGGTAAGGCCTGGAACATCAAGTTTGATGCTGCATTGAAGCTACTTGGGCTGATTCAGTCCGAGTTGACGACGAACTGATATTCTCCAACGATGAACAGCCTCAAGATTAAGTTTAGCAGTAGTTACATTGCCGATAAAGGATTTGAAATCTGCTGAAAGCTTTGTATGAGGGATCACCCGTATGGACGATTCTGTTTTAGTATATAAAGAAGCCGAATGTCTGCTTTAGATGTAATCTCGTGATGCACTGTACAGAAAGTAATGTTATGCTGAATTTCGTCAAAACAGATGAACATTGCGCAAGTTGCAGACAAATTTACTCCAGCGAGTTGCAGCTTGGACGTTATCAATGAGCGAATGGATAGTTGAATTGAAGCTGACAGCTGGAGAAGGACTCTTGAAGATCAGCAAGCTGCGCCTTATGCGTTGTCCAGACTACAGAGTTATAACATGTTATAGCGCTATCTTGATGGTGGTTTCTGTGTTGTAATTATTTGAGAACCGTTATAACATGTTATAACTCGGTAGTCTGAACGTACTATTAAGGTTAATGGCAATAGTTTAACCTGTTATCGTCAGTGACAGGGTTGTTAATCGATAACCATCGATAACGTCTGCAATGGTGAATTTGCATTGTAAGCGGCAATGCAGAGGTTACCGATGGTTATCAATTAACAACCCTGATCAGGAAGGTATACAAAGTTTTTAGATCTCAATTTTGGTTAACGGATGCTCTGAAAAATGATGAATCCTCATGCATTTACCCCCTGAAATCAGTCTTTAAAAAAATTACTTTTTGCATAACGATTCTGTCATGTGTCACCATCCATCCAGCCCACTGTTTCACTCTAATACCTATCAGTTAAATCGTCAG